ACAATGGAGACTATAGGTAAGCTCTGGCGCTAAGTCTTGCAGCATTTGGGAATGTTCCATTGAGGCATTACAGTAGGATGTTCGGTAAGTGTTGCTGGTGGTCTTGAGGGAACATGCCCTGTGCATTTGTGTGTGTGTGTGTGTGNNGGGGGGGGGGGGGGGGGGTTGCGGAGCCCAGCTTCCACAGATTCAGGCTGAGTGCTCAGAAGTTTGGATTTTGACCCAGCGGGACATGTCCTATTTCAGAGGTGTTTGCAGGTCTCGTACGTATGGAGAGCACATAGACGTACATCACAAGTCTCCAACCCTAACCGTTAAGCTACCGGAGAAGCCTACCTGAAAACACGGCAACACCATGTGGTTCAGGCTTTTGAGGTCGGTTTTCACCTTCTACTCTCGCCCCTCGGTCCCAAACTATTTCAGTTTGTGCAGGACATCGACGAAAACGAGCGAAAGGAAGACTACGAGCTGAGGAGTGTGGCTGACATGTTGGTTCAGGGTTTCGCGGGCTTTGCATAGGGTTTAAGACCAGCTCCAGTCGCCCATAACTAGAACTGTCTTTCCAGCCCTGAACCCTAGACCGTCCAAGGCTGTAAAGGTAGAGAAGCTTCGCGGCTGCGAGGATGCTCCATGACTTGCTGGACGAGCTGGACCAAGACATCCGTCGATGCGAAGCTTAGCATTATTTGATGAACACATTGCTTCACTCTTTACGCTGTTCTGACTCCATTTTGTGAGAATTGCTCCGTATTGGGTTCCCAGCAGCTGTCAAGCATATTCTTCAGATGCATTTTTCTGGGATCCCTCATCAAAAGTTCTTGACCCCCGGACCAAAAGACCGCAAAACTTTCGAATCCTAAGACCCTAAACATCACCCCAAGGGTCCAAAGGACTGAATAAGATACTTAGGTTTCGGGTAGTAGTAGTTATGTAGGTTACTATTTGGGGCAGTATATAGGTAGTTTTCTAAACTAGAGTCCCTCTTTAGGTCCCAAGAAAGTACGGCACCCTTATAAAGCGGACCTTAAAGTGACCCAAATTAAGAGAACTATGCATATCATTGTCAGGTACTTGAGCCCTTAGGGTCAACCCTAAGCCCTCGTTCCAAAATCATAAGCCGAAGCCTCTGTCCATGATATCAGAACGGTTTAGGGGTTTGGGTTTAGCGTTTAGGGTTCCGCCGATAAGAACGTAGTCGCCGAGGAGGTAACCTTCAACCCTTGTATAGTGTCAGGACCTGCACATGCCGGGTCATTAGCAAGTGCTCGACCCGACACAATTCCGCATCACACACCAAAACCCTATTCTAATTTTGTTGGTCCGCATGTTACATGTTCAACCCTGTTCAACCCTAAACCCTAAACCCTATATTGATTTGTTTAGACCCTTATATAAGTCTCGACGCCCTACACCCACCGACAACGAGCTCAGTCCAAAGCCTTCTATCGGCTGAAGCGCAGCTGGCACCCCGGCGGCTATAAGGTCCCTCGGGTTTCCAGTTTAGGGCTTAGGGCTTTGGGTTCCGGGTTTTTTTTTGAGTTGGCTTGTGCCCGTCGCTGTTGGGGTGCTGGGCTCCGTTTTGCTCTGGAGATCGGGATGTGTTCAATTGCAAAAGTTCCTCACACGCTAGCTCCTGGTATCAAGCACTTGGTCCAAACCTTCGCCCAATGACACCCGAGTAGGGTGGGGGGGTCGGCGCTGTGTCTCAGACATGTTCGGCTGGGACGGGTGGATGGGTGGGTTGGTGGATGCGGGGGTTGGGGTGGGCGGTGTCAAACAATGCAGAGGTCCGAGGAGTTATAATAAGATCAATTTGTCGTTCGTGTACAACTGTATTACTTCTAAAACCCTGGGAAAGTTCTTCAATGTTTAGGGGTCCTGCTTGAAAGCTCGCTGGTTGCTACAAGTAGTGTTCGGGTGCCTAGTACAGTACCCCATTGGGAGTTCAAGTTCTCAAATTCCCATGAGCTTCATGTATCACCCAAATTTCGATACCAAAATCAACCCCCTACCCATGTCAAAACCTAAAATCCCTTTTCTGAAACCTTTGCAAAACCATGACCGGCCTGGTAAAGCAACTTAACATATCGATCAGGGGTTTGAAGTCAGCATGCACGTGTATACTTGCGAGATTATAAACAGTGGTTTAATCTTTGTAAGGGGAGAGCGTTGCTAATGTAATGCTTATTCGAAACTCTATAAAACCTCGGAAGCCTTTAAGTCAGTATCAAGGGGTGTATGTACTGTTGTACTGACCTAGACTATCTAGACCTTTATGTATGTGTGTATGCGTATGTGTATGTGTATATACATATATATATATATATACTTATATTTACTTATTTTTATATTTAGTTATTTATTTATGACCCTCGTAAAACCTTCGGTAAACCTCTTGAAATCCCAGCAAAGCCCTACTTGGAGGTTCATGGGTGGTCAAAAGTGGGTTAGGAGTTTAACTAAAATTATGACCCATTCTTAGGGAGCTTAGAAGTGATAACCACATCTAAGCTACCCATGAGCCGAAAGTATTGCTAGCCCCAAACCTTAGAACCTCATTATTACAAAACCCCGTAAACCCTTCACCCTAGATTCTGAACCCTAAACCCCAACCTTAAATAACCATTTCAATTACTACAGATGACCTTTGTCAGCAGCTTAATCTTTGGGGTTTAGGGTTCTATAGGGTTCCAGAGGGGTTCTACAGGTCGTGTAGGTTTATGTAGGGTTTAAACTTTAGGGTTCTATAAGGCCTCATAAGCATGTATAGGGCTTAGGGTTTCGGACTATACGGGGTGATAGGGCTCCTACGCTACCTAGCCTAGACTTTAACCCGCGGATTGAGATGCGACACTACCTTTACTTTGTCTTTCTTGCATGACTCCAAAAAAACATCTATACAATATCACTAATGGAGAGAAGACTTGCGTTCTGCACAAACCTTTTTACTGACTCCCCTGATCAGCCCTGATCCTCTAAGCTTAGTAGTCCTGAACCCCAACTCCTAAATGCCCCCTTCCCAAAGGGGGGTTTCCGAATATACGTTAACTAGTGGGAACCGTTATTATAAGGACCTAAAAATGAGGTACCCCTGATTTTCGAAAACTCCCAAATCCTAAACCAGAATGTCCAAACAGTCACCCCAGGATTTCGTCGTACGACACCCGGCCGCGGCCTTTGAGTGTGGCTTTCTCTACGCAAGTACATGGATGGATATGTTTAGTCCATGCACGTCATGTCTACGAGAAGCCAATATATATGTTATATATTGTATATATATATATACATACACATACGTAATTAATTATACATGCATGCAAGTATGCATGCATGGTTCGTATAGGTATTCATATGCCGCGTGTTTAGCATCCCGACGTTAGGATTCATGCATCTGCTCGTGAAAGCATTCGGGCAGGGTGCATCTCAAACTATGTACACTTTTTACGTTCTGATGCACCGCATTGATACATGATGGCACAAGCACAGGCAACTCAGTCAACCCGGTCGGCAGCTGCTTCTGTACCGTCTGTCGAATGCTTCAGGGACCGTCTATCTCATTCACGATTTAGGGTGCGCTGTACGGTCACTCGTCGGATTGCATTAGCATGCCGCCGCAGTCTTGCAATGTAGCTGTGGCATAACACTTCTTTACCTGGCCTTGCTTTGAAGATGTCTGTTGTATCCCTGGCGAACCTGCAAGCTGATTGTAACTGCCAGTGTCTCATGGCACATGGTCATACCGCACAGCTATCAAAGATTCTCTCTGCTATCGAACTATTCTGCGGTCATATTTGCATGCTGCATTGTCTGGGGCAAGCCGCTGGATGTCAAACACCATGATTGCTGTTGTGGTGGTGGTGGTGGTGGTGGTGGTGGTGGTGGTGGTGGTGGTTGTGGTGGTGGTTGTGGTGGTGGTTGTTAGTCGTAGCAGCCGCAGCCGCAGCAGCCCTACACGCCCAGTACGGGCGTCATCGAGAACGAGGAGCTGACGCCGGCGCAGTTCTGCGACCACATCGAGGACAAGCCTAAGGTTTAGGGTTGAAGTTGAGGGTTTAGGGTTGAAGTTGAGGGTTTAGGGTTTTGGGGTTAATGTAGAAGACGATGAGAGCTCTACAGCAAAGAAAGCCTAGTCCATGAATGTTATTGCCACCACAGCGCGAATAAGTTCTTTCAACCCCCAGAGTCTTAAACCGAGAAGACGACCCCAACCAGGCAGAAGATTTGGGACCTGACCGTCCGACGACTATAGGGGCCTAAATCATTACCAATACTAATTTGGGGGTTCCTTATTAGATTTATAGTATATTGGGCCCCCAAACCCTATTCTAGTTATTAAGGCCCCTACATTAGAGACAGGGTTGCTTTTAGAGTGAGGGGATGGAACTTCGGTGATCTGAGGCTATGCAGCTCCTCTGCTGAGGTTTGCAATCATAGAGATCAGGACGATGCTTGTCATTGTGACGAACATGACGACGATACAAGGAGGCACTGCAAGGCAACAAGCACAAGTTTTGCACTACCTAGAACTGTTCTTGCCAGTTTCCTCCTGTGTTCATCTGAACCTTTAAGATTCTTCTTCAGCGTAACCATCATCATCAGCATCGCCACTCTGCCGCCTTCACCATGTCTTGCCACGGACTACATCCTCGAAAGGCATAGTGATGTGCCTGTCGCTTCACTGGAAAACGAGCAAGGACTCCAAGGACGATGCATTTAACTTAAAGCCCTTAGCCCTGCTCTGGCTCCTGTGCAGCTTAACACGACTTCTCGGAAAACGAGCCGATAACACGAAGCAAATCAAACCTCCCAGCCTCGCACGACCCTGCAAAGCACGACATGCTTTCTGTCAGCAGGACGACCCCAACTACGAGGTCCTCTTAAGGCAGGGTCCGCGGAACTACCCAACTCCCTCATATGCGAGAAGTTGACATTGAGGTCATGAGATGGCATTGTGTAGTCTTATGGACGCTTGGAATTGACAATGAGTAGGAAGTGCACTTCCCACAATCGCTGCGAGGGAGTCTACGACCTCGCACCCTCTGTGCTTTAATCTGCTGACCCCCCATTCCAGGTACCCAAACCGTGGTAGGTTTGGGGATGCACTGAACCCTTGGCTATCTTCACAGCGCCAGGGATGCGGTGAACCGGTTGCTGCGCCTCAACCGCACATTTGAGGCCGCGAAGATGCTGGCCAGGCAGGGCAGCTGACGTGGTTCAGTAGCTCTTGAGCACAGGCCTTTTGATCCCACGTAGTAAATAAAACAGTATTACGAGGACACATGAAAAAGAGCAGGGTTGTCTCATACATATCGTTATTATGGTATATTAAGCTCTGTTGCAGGCACCTGCAAGCAAAATCAAAGGGCTTGGAGCGCGGTCGGTTGGGCATCTCACAATGTCAGGTTTCGGGCTCCGGCTGCGTATGACCGTTCAAGTTGCAGAGGAGCCTGAACAAGTGGTATGATTTGGTATTATCCTGAAGTCGGCTTTGTTTTAAGTAAAGTTTCTTATCCTGTAGCAATGAGGAACGGAGTTTTGGACCTTGGTTTGGGGGTGTCCGGATACTATAGGGGCCGAAATAATTACCATACCCATTTGGGGGTTTCCATTGTAGTTATAGTATATTGGGCCCCAAAACCCTATTAAAACTATTAAGGCCCCTACATTATAGCGTTTAGGATTTTAGGTTGGCGCTCGAAGATCCTGAGCTCAAGCCTTCTCAGATTTCCGACCCTCAGGCTCCAAGGCGTCGAGGCCCTGTGGCGCCAAAACCCTGGAGCCTGCCTCCCCAAATTGCCCAACGCCCCTTAATTAAGTAAGGAATAGACCTTAAGTGTAGGGGCTACTAATATGATGGTGAAAGGTATACTCCTTAGTCAAGGGGTATTAGTTGGGCTCTCAGGGTCTAAAGCCCTACTCACAGTAAAGCCCCGCCCCCTGTTTTCGGAGCCTCTTTTCCCTAAACCCTAAACCCTAAAACCCTAAAACCCTAAAACCCTAAACCCTAAACCCTAGCTGTAAAACACCTCCATCTCCCAGACCCAACCCTCCTAAACGCGAGACCCAACCAACGAAAGCCTAAACTTCCAAAGCTCGATCCAAATCTCGAACGTCAACCAACGAAGTATGAGGCCCAAAGCCAAGGGCACGAAGGTCGTGGAAAACATCAAAGACACCCAGGCTGTCTCTGATTGGCATAGCACAAAGGTCGAAAGCATTACTAATACTACTCCTCAGGGTTCCCAGATATATAATAAATAAATAAATAAATATAAATATAAATATATATATATATATGAGGGTTGT